TAGAGGGATAGAGAGATAGAGAGATAGAGAGATAGAGAGATAGAGAGATAGATAGAGAGATAGAGAGATAGATAGAGAGAGAGAGATAGATAGATAAGATAAGATAAGGTAAGATAAGATAGGATTAGATTAGATTAGGTTAGATTAGATTAGATGGGATTAGATTAGATTGGATATGGTTGATAGATAGATAGATAGGTAGATAGATAGATAGATAGATAGCAGATAGCTAGGTAGGTAGGTAGGTAGGTAGGCAGATAGTCAGAGAAAGAGAGAGAGAAAGAGACGAGACCTCAAGCACCTTTCGGTCCATCAGTGGCTTCGATCTGCCATCCCTGATTCACAACAACCAACCTCTCCTATAGGTTTCCTTTTTTTGAAACTTCCGCCACCGCCTTGTGCGGTACTACTGGTATAAAGATAAAGTAGTATTGGGAAGTACTTTGTGAAAGCGTTGTAGTACAAAGTAGTGCTGCCAGGTGTTCCAGATGTGTCAAGCAAGAGTGTCCCACAAGAGTGCCAAGCGAGATTGTCAAGCAAGGGTGTCCCAGGAAGAGTGTCAAGCAAGACTCTTTTACAAGAGTGTCCTGCATGAGTATTCAGCAAGAGTGTCAAGCAAGAGTGTCCAACAAGAGTGTTTTACAAGAGCCAGTGTGTCAAGCAAGAGTGTCCCAAAAGATTGTCCGAGTGAGTTTTACAAGAGTGTGCCACAAGAGTGTCGAGTAAGCCTGTCCCACACCGAGTGTCCGAGAAGAGTGTCAAGGAAGAGTGTTCTGCAAGAGCGACTTTTAATGAATGCAATCGATCATCTCCTGTTCACTTTTCTTTGTTCTGTAGGAACCCTTCTTCTACGTGAGCTTTTTGAAAAATGCATTTGGGCTCGTGGCTTCTATCAGGTTTTGAATCTACATGCAGATGCAAGGGCAAAGCTTGAGGACATGCATAATAATACGGTTCGATGACATAGATATGCTTTGTGCAAGCAACAAACCTGCTTGAACAGATGCAGGTGCAGACTGACGTGCGCATATCCAATCAGCACATCTGCCTCGGTCATGCCTCGGTGCCAGGAAGGGCAGCTGACTCCGGAGGACGTCATCCTTGAATTTGGTCTGCCTCGGAGCCGCGGTGGAGTTGGAGAATTGAAGTCCTCTATGGCTGCTTTGGTAACACTGTAGTATCCCCATGGAAATTTCCCTATAGAGAATGGGGTCACTCAAGTGACCCCATTCTTTAGACAGAAAATGCTTGAACAGTCATTTTCCCTACATTTCCCGGGGAAAGTCCGAAAGGTCCTTCATGATTTTATATGTAAATGTATCTGACCATTTTCTAGAGAGATAAGGATAGATAAGGGTTGAAAAAAAAATAAAATCAATCGAACTCTTGTCCGAATGCTTCCTGGGTCATTCCTGGGGAATGCTTAAAAAGCCCCATGCCCAGGGCCAAGTTCATCCTTCCATATCAAGTCATTTTCTAGACAGCTGCTAGATTGATATCAAGAGACAAATTGATTGTGCAGTGCATTTTCTAGACCTCTATTGGGGCGCCCCAAAGCATCACAAAATAGATCCAAATTCATCTAGGTTTTTCTGAAATGTGACAAGATGCGTTTCAATTTTCTATTCCAAAAGTGTGAAGAATGAACTTCAGGATTCAGTAAAGTGTGCCAAAAATTTTGAAGTGCCAAGAAAAGATATCTTTTCAGTGAGGCACAAGCCAAACAGAAAAAATATCCTCATTGAAATTTCCCAGAAGAGCATGGGTGAACTCAAGTTCACCCATTCTCTAGCTAGAAACTGCCCGCCCAGTCAATTTTCCCACATTTCCTGGGGAAGTTCGAAAAGGTCCTTAATAATTTTATATGTAACTGTGCCTGACCATTTTCTAGCGAGATAAGGGCTGGAAGAAAAAAAAAACAATCGAACTCTTGTCCGAATGCTTCCTGGGTCATTCCTGGGGAATGCTTAAAAAACCCCATACCCAGGGCCAAGTTCATCCTTCCATATCAAGTTATTTTCTAGACAGTTGCTAGATTGATATCAAGAGCCAAATTGATTGCGCCATGCGTTTTCTAGACGATTTCGGGTATCCAGGAAACATATATAAATTCTCCATAATTTATCGAGATTTTGTTGAAATGTCATGTGATGATATGTTTTTTTTGAACTTTCTATTCCAAAATTGTGCAGACGGAACTTCAGGGTGCACTCGAAAGTCCCAAAATATTGAAGTGCCGCTGCCAATGTGCAATATTGTTTGAATGAAGTGTAAGCCAAACAGAGACATTAGTATTTTGGGAAACCCTTGGCTCATTTAATTTTTGTCTAGAAAATGCCTGAACATGAAAGGGTCGATGACATCATTGTTTGGGGGGATTCCTTGGATCATGTTTTTTTGAAGTGGATTTTTAGTTCCTGGGGGACTAATTTGAGGTTTTCTGGGGTTCCCTGGGGAATATAGGGTGCCGGTTTCAGGAAGGGTTAGGCAATTCATTTTCTAGGGAAAACATGATTTATTTTGGGTCTTGGATTTTGACACACATTTCTTTGGTTTTTTGACTGGTGCAGCTTCATGCTATTCTTGATATTTTCTAGAGAACAAGTCGTGAGTTGATGATGAGTTGCACTTCCATGTGCCTATTTTCTTGAAAATTTGAACGTGTAGAACAGGCATAAACATTTCTAGAAAATGATTAGAACAGGCCCCTAAGAACATCGATCTTTATCGTTTGTTTCTCGTTTTCCAGGCTTGTGACTTGTGACTGTTCCGTTAATTTGTCTCGCACATGAGGATCATTTGAGCTACCCCCCAAATGGCAAGGTTTTTTTTACCAAGGCATATTGAATCATTTTGTAGAAAAATGTTGTTTAACAGCTGCATTTTCTTGAAACGTTTGGCAAGACATGGCAACACACATGTTGAACCGAAAAAAATGTAGAGACCTTGGCCAACCTTGTTTTTATCAACCAATCTTCAACAAGTTTTGGGCAGAGGAATACATCACTTACGATGGCATTCGATTACAGGTCAGTTTCTGGATTTTTTGGTGGCAGAAATGACTCAATTTGATGTTTTCTGGTGATTCCTCGGGAATATGGATTACCTGGTTTGGCAAGGATTACACAATTCATTTTCTAGAGAAAACATTGTTTATTTTTGGTCCTCCATTTTTGAATCATTTTTTTTAGGGATTTTTAGGGAACAGTTTTTATTGTTCTTATGATGGCATTACAGGTCATTTTCTAGACCCAAAGTGGTGAATTGTACTCTCATGCATCTGTTTGTTTAAAAAATGCATGTCCAAAACATCCATGCACCCCTGTAGAAAATGAATAGTCCAATCAAATAAAACGTCCAATTTTACCTGTTTTTTTCATTTTCTAGGCTTTTGATTGGGTCAGAACTTTTCTGGCGAGAAAATGAGGGTCACTTGAGTTCACCCTGAAATGTCAATAGGGATAAATATGTGGTCAGCCCAAATCATTCGTTGAAATTCAAGTTCTTCATGGACTTGACAAAACTACAGACCTTGCTCAATCTTGATCAACCAATCCTGGAAAATTTTGGGAGACAAAAAAAAATCACTCGCTTTGTTGGCGCGGGATTGCAGGCTGAATTTTTGGATTAAATTTTTGGCACTAAATTTGTGTTAAATAACTGTTTTTTTGGTGATTCCTGGGGAATATGGATTACCGCCTTGGCAAGGATTGCACAATTCATTTTCTAAAGAAAGCATTGTTCATTTTTGGTCCTCCATTTTTGAAACCATTTTTTTAGGGAACATTTTTTTTGTTCTTATGATGGCATTACAGGTCATTTTCTAGACCCAAAGTGGTGAATTGTACTCTCATGCATCTGTTTGTTTAAAAAATGCATGTCCAAAACATCCATGCACCCCTGTAGAAAATGAATAGTCCAATCAAATAAAACGTCCAATTTTACCTGTTTTTTTCATTTTCTAGGCTTTTGATTGGGTCAGAACTTTTCTGGCGAGAAAATGAGGGTCACTTGAGTTCACCCTGAAATGCCAATAGGGATAAATATGTGGTCAGCCCAAATCATTCGTTGAAATTCAAGTTCTTCATGGACTTGACAAACGTAGAGACCTTGATCAATCTTGATCAACCAATCTTGGACAATTTTGGGAGAGAAAAAAAATCACTCGCTTTGTTGGCGCTGGATTGCAGGCTGATTTTTTGGATTAAATTTTTGGCACTAAATTTGGGTTAAATGACTGTTTTTTTGGTGATTCCAGGGGAATATGGATTACCTGTCTTAGTAAGGATTGCACAATTCATTTTCTAGAGAAAACATTGTTCATTTCTGGTCCTCCATTTTTGAAACCATTTTTTTAGGGGAACATTTTTTATTGTTCTTATGATGGCATTACAAGTCATTTTCTAGACCCAAAGTGGTGAATTGTACTCTCATGTACCTGTTTGTTTAAAAACATACATGTCCAAAACATCCATACATCCCTCTAGAAAATGAATTGCCCAATCAAAAAAAACGTCCAATTTTACTTGGTCTTTTCATTTTCTAGGCTTTTGACTGGGTCAGAGATTTTCTGTCTAAAGAATGGGGTCACTTGAGTGACCCCCCCCAAAGTCAATGGAGATACTGTAGTAACAGTTTTGGTAACGGTTTGGTAACATTTCCAATGCTTCCACTCCAACTTGGAAAGACATGGGAAGACAGAGCAGAGATGAACATTTCCCGGCGATATTATTGAAAGAACCCGTTTCATCATCACATTTTTTGTGTTCCTTGTCCTGTTTCACGAAGCCTGCGCAGCACACTGGAGCTGTCGAGGGTGGATTGAGGGCGATTACATCGTCATGTTTTGACATAACGCGGTCATTTGAAAACTGGGACTCACACGGATTTTTTCAAAAGATATCGCATCCGTTTTGTGCAGTTCAGTTTCTTTTACCGATTGTTTGTGTTCAGAAAAACTTGGTGAAGAACTGTTAGGTACAGCGTCAGGAAGCCCTTCCATGCTCACTCCAGCTGAAGCGAGCTCAGGAATAAGAGTGCTGCAGCATCCATCGTTTCCAGATCTTTGTCCTAGACGTGCATGCAGTCCATATATGATTGTGCACACATATATTGTACATTGTGCTGTATATAGTTCAATATATATATATACACATATAGATACCGATATGTATATGTATACATATATATATATATATTTGTTTATAGATACCGTGTGTGTATATAAATAGATACCGTATATATATATATATGTATATATATATGTATATATATATATGTATATATATATGTATATATATATATATACATATATATATGTATATATGTATACATATATATATATATGTATGTATATATATATATATGTATATATATATATGTATATATATATGTATATATATATACACCTGGAAAGCCTAGTGCCCATTGCTTTGGGCACTTTCCAAAGTGCCCGAAATTTTGGTCACTGGATAGTGTACCATTTTAGGAGCAGGATTTCTACGGGTATTTATGGCACTTTACGGATATTTACAGCACTTTTACGGTCATTTTTGCAGCAAAAGATGAAGTGCCTTTTTTTGGTGTGAGGCTTGCAAAGTGCCACAAAAATGGGCTACCAAGCCAAAGTAGCCTGAAACAATAGGCAACTACGGCTTTCCAGGTATATATATATATATATGCATGTATGCATGTATGCATGTACGCACGTATGCATGTATGAATGTATGCATGTATGCATGTAGCATGCATGTATACGCATGCATGCATGCATGCATGTATGTGTGTGCGTGCGTGCGGTGGGTGTGCGTTGGTTGCGTTGCGCTGCGGTGCGTTGCCGTTGTTTTGCGGTGCGTTGCGGTGCGTTGCAGTGAGGCGCGGTGAGGCGCGATGCGGCGCGGTGCGGCGCGGTGCGGTGCGGTGCCATGCCGTGCCGTGCGGTGCCGTGCCGTGCGGTGCCCGTGCCGTGCTGGGCGGGGCGGGCGGGTGGGAGCGGCGCGCGGGCGGGGGGGCGGGCGTGCGGTTGTGCAAGTGGGGTGTGTGTGTGTGAATGCGGTTGCATACGGCTATTCGTGTACGCACATGCGTGCACGTTGACAGTGTACGGTATACGTACATTGTATGTTTATATATTGCAGATCTATGTGTGTCATGTTGGTGCCACATCATATCGTACAATACTAAATCGCATCATACTCGTACCATACCACACCACACCACACCATACCATACCACACCAAACCATTCCACACCATACCATATTTTCATGATCATGATGATAATCATAGTCATTGTCACGGTCATTGTCAAACATAGCCATCGTCATTACAGCCCTACCAGCCATAGCATGCCATATGCACAATATGTACCATATCAAATTATCATACCATGTCGAATAGTGTACGCAGGGCATGTGATTCAGTTCAACCATGAAGTGGGCAACAGGTCACAGTTGTGGTTTCAGCTTGCTGTCCAGTCGCACTAGCCGAGACTTTTGATCAGCAGCAACATTGGCATGTCCACATCCAAAAACAACCCTGAACAGCAGGAAATGAGGCCATAGTGCAGCTTTGATCGCTTCTAATGATTCTAATGATGTTTCAACTATGCTTTGAGCAAAGAAAGTTGCAATTTGCAAGGAGATGCCGGATGGAGTATCCTGCATACATTTGCATACATGTGCAGCTCAAGCATTGACTTGGACCCCGATTCCACGGCTCTTGAAAGTGATTCAGATATATTCGTGCAAAAACACACACGCAGATAGAAGATAGAGGAAACTTGCCCGCAGCACCAGAGCGGGGTTGAAGCAAAGCCATGCCGGGCCCGCCTCAATCGCATCAGTGGGAGATGGAAATTTGTGGAGTGACAACTGCCTTTGACACCCGGCTCAGAGGGTCAGGGAACGTTGCAGGAAAAGTCATGAAAGCCATGCCCGCTATTGTGTGGGATTTACGATGTAAAGGCATAGTGAAAGCCATGCCCTGGATTTAATTGACCAAACCACAGTGGCCCTCCACACATAGCAAGAATTTGTCAAGATATGTCAAGATCCCATTGGTATGATTCACTGTTGCAAGTTTACCCCCAAACTATGGCTGTGGTGCAGGGATTCTTCGAATAGATGAGAAATGGAAGGAGGAAGCCCCACAAAATTTGCCAGACCAAACCGAGGTTATTACAGATTTTGGCCAGCGGGCTCAGTGGAATGCGAAGAGAGTTTGTCCACAGTTGCCAAGTGTCGTGTTTGTCGTAGTTGTTGGCACTGTTTCTGTTCGAAACAATGCTCATGCGCCACACACCCAACCGCACTTCACCCCACACCTCCTCAGCCGAAACTTCAAAGATTGGTCGTGATCACTGGAGGGAATTGGCTGAAACAAGTGAATCCAACATCATTAATAATGGAGACCAATTTTGAAAAACTGCCTGAAGCAACGTGGATTGAGGCTCTGAACTCTTGTTTACTGTTTCCCAGAGCGGCAAGATTGCTTCCCTAATCCAGGCGGGAGCAAATGATGTATGTTTGGGTGTGCCATGGCGTGGCTGGGTGAGCGCATTGAAATGCGAGTAGTCTAATTATACCAAGCACTTTGCAGATTCAGTGCCTTTATGATTTGTTCACTTGCAAAGCGTTTGCTGTTATTGATACGTGCGCTCCTTGTAATGAAGTCCAACACCCATGGAGTTCATGGAGAGCTTCGAACATCTTTGAATGCTTGCCTTTGACATCCTTTGACCACTTCAGTCCTTCCCAGATTTTTTGTCACCGGCACTAGCCATGGCGCTTGCGCATCTCCCGAGAGTTCCAAAAGGGCATGGCCTGAGATATGCCCATGCCAGCGTGAAAGTCCCTCACTTTGGCCTCTGGTTGAATGGCAAGTGGGCTGAAGCCCAAAGTGGGCACACCGGTGAGGTTTTGAACCCTGCCACTGGAGAGAAAGAAGCAACCTTTGCCATGGGAGATGCAGCAGACATCGATGAAGCAGTGAAGTCAGCAGACCAGTCGTTCAGAAGTGGAGAGTGGAGTGAGCTGAACCCACGAGCGCGAGGTCGTGTATTGAATCGGGCCGCCGAGCTTCTCAGAAGTGCCCTCCCAGAGTTTGTGGATTCTTGACATTTCTTGGCTTTGTGTATCTTTGTGTGACATTTTACATTTTCGAAAAGAGCTTTGCAGTTTTCAGATGTTTTAAGCAGGTCCAGTGACAAGGTTGTAGAATGTTGTAGATAGCGGTGCGATAGCGGTAACATGTGGTGTCCATGTGGTGTCCCGTGCCTTTGAGCCGCAACAAGGATATGGAGACCCGCCAGACGGGCAGATGTCTTCGCGAATACAAGGCTCAGCTTGGCCGAGTGCCAGAGTGGTTTGAATACCATGCTTCCTATGCAGCTGCCAAAGGATTTGAAGGTCGTCTTCCTTCTTTGACTGAGGCTGACCACATCAACATGGTGTGGAGAGTGCCTGGCTTCTGCAGTTTATTGCTTTCTTCTGCCTCATTGTTTTTTAAACGTATTTCCGAGCAAGACCTGGGCTAAAAGTGAGCAGAAAAATGCAAAAAAACACATGGCATAGCGATAGAGCAATGTTGGCTTCGGGGTTCTTGCATTTTTTCCCCCTCCTTGACCCAAACGCAAATCCTCCTGAGTCAGATGTCAGGTGCCTTTGGGTGTTTGTGGTTTGATTACTCCATGGAATCATCCAGTTCTCATCGCTGCTAAGAAGATCTCAGTTGCTCTGGCTGCGGGAAATTCAGTGGTAGTGAAGCCTCCGCTGGAGGCACCAGTCACAGTGCTCCGTTTAGGAGAGGTTTTATCAATGGCTGGATTGCCACCTGGAACGCTTCAAGTGGTGCCAGGTGCAGGCCAAACAGCAGGTGATGCACTAGCCCGCCATCCCATGGTTGAAAAATTGGACTTCACTGGAGGAACTGCGACAGGATTGCAAATTCAAAGGTCAATGGCAGAGGCCGGCAGAGTTCGAGCGTATTCTGCTGAACTTGGAGGCAATGCGCCTATTCTCGTCTTTTCTGACACCAGGAAAGTACAAGAAGCCGTCGATGGTGTTTGTTTTGCGGCCTTTGTGGCTTCGGGGCAGACCTGCGTGAGCGGTAAGCGTGTTCTTGTCCAGGATGAGATTTTTGAGGAGTTTCAGGATGCTCTGATCTCCAAGGTGACAAGCTTGCAGGTTGGCAATCCCTTGGAGGAAGCTTATTGGTGAACGTTTTCTTTCTGAATGCGATGTCCCCTAAAACGGCTTAAAGGCGGATTATAGGCTGAGTTGTGATGAGTTGTGGATGTTGTGGTTCTGAGATGTTCTGAGGAAGCAACAGACATTGGCCCTGTCGTCTCCGCGAGACAGTTGGAACGTATCGAGGACCAAGTGGCAAGGGCGAAAGCTGGTGGTGCAAAGGCAGTCACTGGTGGTCAACGGCCCAGCCTGGAAGGGCTTCTCGGGAAGGGCCACTTCTACGAACCCACTGTGTTGACAGGGGTCTCTCCAGAGAGTCTTGGATGATGTTGGACGATGTTGGGCGGGTATGCAACAGTGTCCGAAAGTATTGAAAAGTCAAGATCTGCCAAGCAGTGATGCCTTGCTACAATCTGCGGTATCGTGGTTTAAAAAAAACGTGCGCATGTCTGATGGCTCATGACTTACTAAGTATTGCTGTACCACCTGCTATTCCAGCTCTATTGACTCTGTTTTATGCCCCTTAGCTCCGAGGAATCCAGCGTTTGTGGAAGAAATCTTTGGGCCCGTGATTTCTTTGTCGAGATTCCGCGATGAAGAGGAAGCTCTTGCTTTGGCAAATTCATCGGACTATGGTTTGGGTGGCGTTGCTTGGTTCTTGTCCTATTGACTGCTGACTGCTGTTAACCGCTGCTGACCGCCAGAGTGGAGTCGACTGTTTGTAGGACTGGGCTGGACTGGGGTACATTCGGTCGGTGACATGTCGACTGACCATTCAAACTGTTCAAATTGTTCAAGTATACTGACCCCATCTGACTTCATCTGATGCTGAGGCGATCTGGACGGAGGACATTCGGAAAGCGTTTCGCGTGGCGCGCGGCTTGCGGTGTGGCCTCAGCTGGGCCACTTGGCCATGCCTGCTGAACATAGCATTGTCATTATTCAGTAATCAATAGTAATCACTTAGAGTAATAGACTTAGATATTTATAAGATATTTATTGTGATATCAATAATATATATATATATATTATATATATTATATATATATATATATTATATATTATATATATATATCTACATATACATATATGTATATACACACATATATGCATAATATATATATATATATATGTATAGATGTATATATATATATATAGATGTATATATATATATATATGTATATATATATGTATCTATTCATTGCCCGCGTTGTCTGTCTGACAATATCTGTCATGTTCTGAGGTGACTTGGCTCTTACCGTTTGGACATGGCATAAAAGAGTAGCATTCTTTCGAGCAACAGCACATATTCACGCCCGATTCACAGCCATGCCTTCACGGTACCCCTCATGTAGAAGCCGAAAGTTAATATCCATCTACTGGTACATTCTTATATATTTTTTATTTTTATTTTAGATACATGTTTCATATTATATGATATGAAACTGCTTGATATTGTATATTTTGTGCGGTCTCATGCTGTGCCCATTTACTGTAATTTCTGCCGCGTTCATTGCTGGCTCCAAGGTAAACTGCCATCATCGAAACGATCCATCCAGTCCATGGGGTGGCTTTGGCCAGAGCGGCATTGGCCGGGAAAACGGCCCAGAAGCGTTCGAAGAGTACACAACAACGAAGAGTTTGACCATCAGGACGCGCCCGAAGGTCTGAACATTCTGAACTAGAATCATGTCAATGCATGTCAATGCGACATTGGCCAATGTTGGCACTTTCCGCATTCGGTATTCGCAAGCAATTGTAAAAAGACGAGCCCGTACGCATACAGGTCATGGAACGTATACGTTGGGAACCACAGCATTACTTTACATGGTAGTACATGCAGTAGACGAGTGCAGTGGACGCACAACTTTTGTACCTTTTCAATTCTTTTCAATCCTTTTCATCTATTTCCTCATCTTTGTCTATCTCGGATTCAGACATTGAACTCGCAGGTGAGTTCCTTCTCTGTATGCAGGACGAATGAAACGGCAGAGAATTGGTTTGGAAGCAGATCTGCCCGCTACGGCTGAGGAAGGCAACAGCTCTTGAATCTCTTGAACCTGCAATATACCCATCAGGAAAAATGCATGCGATTCGGGAGTGAGGTGACACGGGTTCAGTTTTGAAAGCTTGGTGCTCGTCGAATCTTCCCATGACATGCAATTAGGCCGCTCGGGATTCCTTCCAAGATCTTCCAAGTTTTCTTGATGGACTCTGCTCCATCTTGGCCCAGAAAAAACTCCTCAACAAGTGACTAGCAGAACAAGAAGGAACATTTACACAGAGTAGCGGAACCAAGTCTGCCAGCGCAGATGTCTTCCAGAAAGCCAGCATGTAACGATTTTTGGAGCCAAAGCGTGTCAACCTTGTGGGACATGCCAGGCGACAGCCTCAGAGATGAGAGAGATAGGCCCTGAGCTGGATCCACAAAGGACCTTCGATGTGCAGGCAGCGGATAGTAGCCGATTGCAGCGGCACATTATGAACGCATGTGAAAATTCGTCGCCGAAAAGCTATATATATAATTATATATGTAATATGGTTTTTTGAGGCTGCAACCCCAACGCATCCCAACACAAAGTTCTCATCACGTCCTGCTACCTGTCTTTGTTTCGATTACTTCTGGTATCCTCTTGTGCCTTTCAGGACGTGTTTGTACGGTTGTGGTGCCGCTGCTAGTCGAATTTGATTGAATTCGTTTGTTAATATAATCTTCCTTCGTACGCTATTAGGGCTAAGAGGGCCAAACGATTCAGAATCACGGCTTATAGGAAGCTACGCCTTCCTTATTTTTCTCTGCAAAATTTTAACTGACGGGTGCTCTCTTTGATTGGTGCCCTGGGAAGGGGCACTGCTGGGCATGTTGCGAGCTGACACTTGGCTACGAACAGTCACCTACTTAAAGACTAGCGACAGGCGCAGACAGGCATCCCTGACATCCCTGGCATTCCTCACATCGTGTTGAGATATGCAATCTCACGCGGCAACAGATGGATCCTTTGCCACGGGCGCCCCCGACACCCCATCCTTCTGATGCTTTGATGCCGTTCGGATGTCCTTCAAAGGCAGAAGGTACTTCCACGATAAGCTGCTTACATCAGAACACTTTGCCAGGCAGCCGGCTTTTAAATCTTTCAAGTCCCTATTGTCGTCTACGGGTGTCTTCCACGTGTTTGTTTGCTGTATGCTGCATCATTCTACTTAATTCTGAGATTGGCGAGCAAATGTGTAGCATATTGTAACACAATCTCACACACAGGCACACAGAAATCCAACAGAGCGTCATAACATTTGATTGGAATCCCAACAATTCAGCAGTTCAGGGTCATGTGAGCCACCGCAAAAACCCCGGCAATACTAAATATGTATTGGACGGACATTGGTTTATGGAAATTGATGGAAATTGTTAAAAACATACGGTAAGCGATGGGACCTTCCCAAATTAGCGATACCCCTTTTCAAGGTTATGTCATTGTATTTCTCTAATATCCACATTAGCGATCCCAAATCTGACCTTGATTTCTGTGAATTATATATATATATGTTGTTGATGCACAGTAGTACTCCATGTATATAGTGTTTTACCTCCTTTACACTGCGGCTCAAGAAACATGCGTGCGCAGGTGTAGCTGCAATTATCCCGGTTTATAGCTTGTTTCTACAGGTTATCAGCCGTATCGCCAAGCGATTGCTGATTTCCTTTGTCTCACTGTTTCGCATTCCTCCCTGTACTAGCAATGGCTACTCCCCCTGCGTTACCTGCCCCGGGCGGGAACGCCACGGCTGCGCTTGCCATTGCAGGTACACAGCAGCCGGAGGAAATGGTGATCCACTCAGGTGCAGCTACAATGGAAGGTGACATGAGTTACTTGGAAGATGACTTTGACCCATGCCGAAATGATCCACGCAGAGGCATGCCAGGTGTTTTGGATTCGCATGTTGACATTAGTCAGTTGAACACCATCAACTTCAACAGTGTTGATCAACGTACCGCCCAAGTGGCAGTGGTGCAACAAGGTGTCGATCCCACTCTGGCAAGCCAACTGATGGCTGCACAACAGCAGGCATTGCAGAGCGAGGCCAATGCGCTTCACTCTGAGGTCATGGAACGTCAAAGAGATGCGCTTGTGAGCGAAGCTCGGGATCAGCTTGCAAGCATTGAGCAAAGAGCAGCCGACGAGATTTCCAAGAAGAACCTCTTGTTGAATGAACAAGCTGCCCAGGCGATGAGTGAGCAGAAAGCTGCTCAACTGCACGGTCAATCGCAGGATCATCGCATCAAGGAATTGAGTGCCGAACTTAGTCATGTTATCAACTTTTATCAACAATGCAGGTCTTATGTCATCGTCTGTGGAAAAGTCCAATGCCGACTTGCAAGCAGCTCGTTCAGAACTTGCAGAGTATCGCACTCAGATCGATGCCATGAACCAGCATGCATTGAACATGAAAAGGTTGGCTGAGTCTCAGAAACGAGATTTCGAGGTGGAGATTGAAAAGCTTCGGACCGAGCAAAAGGAGTTGATTCGAAGTTTGAAGTCTCAACCTCTGGAGGGAACTCCTGGACTTGAAATCCATTACCGACCAGGGAGACCCAATCCACATACATCTCAGCCTTCAAGACCCATCATTGAAGAACTTGATGCAGGTGACGGGAAGCTCAAGCACTCATCCGATGCGGATGATGAGCACTTTCTGGCAGATCCCTTCAAACCGCCAGGACTTCCTGGTGGAGGACCTCCGGATGATGATGATGACGACGACTCCAATGACAGACGAGGTCGCAAGGACAAGAAGGACAAGAAGAAAGGCTGCAAGACCAGTCGTGGCCGATCCAGACGCCGACGTCGTCGGGACCCTTCGTCCTCTCCTTCATCGTCTTCATCGCCTATCACGTCCAGTTCGGATTCTGAGAGTTCCTTTGCAAGTAAGGTTAAGAGAGCCTTAGATAAGTCTAGGACATCTGATAGTAAGGCCAAAGAGTCTGACAGAATTCTAGTACCTAAGTTTCCTCAACCTGAGAATTATAGGAATTGGAGAATCCGTGTAAGGGTGGGTTGAAGAAGTGTTCAAGACGGATCAGCCCGTTGAAGCCTTGAAGGACTCAGGTAAGTTTGTGACCCTCGACGCAAAGCTCATGTCTTCGCTCACCAACATCTGGGAAGGGGACTTTGCACGGCAACTTGACATTTTCAAGGAAGAACAGGCCAAGTCGGGGACACCAGCCAGAGAACGTCAAGCATTGCTCATGATCCACAAGCATTTTAGCACGAGTAGGAAACATGGTGCAGTGTACGACATTGAGGACCTGATGGCTGTTACCTTAGTCAATGATGATCTCAGAGGTTTCATCACTAGATGGGACGCTGTGATCGCTGGAATGACTTCCGAGCCTGACATGATGTGGAAGCAAGCGTACTTTCACAACGCCATCAAGAACTTCAAGCCTCTCTCTCATGATCTGGCTGTGTATGATCGCACACCGGAGGGGGAACCCAACCGCTCTTATGATTTTCTCATGAAAGCTGCAAGGGATTACCTCTTGAAAAGATGCGACAGGCAACGAAGAAGTCAGCTTCAGGCAAAAGAGACGCAGCCCCAGCGCCCAACAGACCATCGTCTGCGGGCAAACCCCAGGGCATTTGCTACGACTTCCAGGCTGGCAAGTGCACCAGGGGAAAGGATTGCCGATACAAACATGAAAAGTCTGACAAAGGAAAAGGCGGAGGCAAGAAAGGCAAGTCCAGGTCCAAGTCAGAGGCACTAGTCGTTCTTTGTCTCCTGTATCTAGAAATCAAGTTTGTAAGTTTTGGAAGGCGGGAAAGTGTCAACGTGGTAGTGAATGTGCTTTTCAACACCCGCCGAAACCTGCAGCTCCATCCACAAAAGATGACAAGCGTGGAAAGAGCCAGAACAAGAAGAAGAAGAATAAGAAGAAGGGCGACCGCTCCCGGTCGTCAAGCCGAGGTTCCAATTCCTCGAAGGGCTCACAGAGTCTCAAGGACAGCGAACCCACTGATGGACCGACAGGTGGTGTCAAATTATCCATGTGTCATCGTTTGTCTACCTGTCTATCTGTCTATCCATCCATCCATCCATCCATCTATCCTTCTTTTCTCTCTACTGATCTATCTGTCTGTCAATCTATCCATCTCTGTGTCTTTCCATCCATCTGCTTACCTTTCTATCTGTCTAGGCAGCAGTCCATCCATCATCCTATTTCTGTCTATGTGCCCATCTGTCTATCTTTCTCTCTACTTCTCTCTTCCAAGATCTGTCCATTTCCTTGTCTCTCTATCTGTTTGTCGTCTTGTGGTCTATCCATCTATCTAGCTGTCTATTTGCTCACCCATTTAGGTACCGAAGCATTTCATCCATCTATCTAGTTCTTCATCTTTCCTGGAACATCGGTCTAGCACGATCCCTTGGGTGCACACAACTCGACCTTTTTTACCTTGTGTTATGCGGAGGACACGGTCAGAAAGGGCTGAAAAGCATTCTGCCCTCCACTGGTCAGAAAAGACTTGGTGGAGATGCTACTCCGAGGGAAGCACGAGAGCAAGGCAGCCTACGACATCGTCAGTCGGACTGGTCTTGGGCTGCAGCAATACACACCAGGCTAATGAACCACACAGTCGGCTGCTTTCACCTACGGCCGGGGTGCTCAGACCCTCTTCCTTGCTTCTGCCTCTGCATTCACATAATTCCACCAAAAAACAAATAATTAGAAGACATACGACCAACAGCAACATCCACACCTACACTACAATCATGTTGGCTGACATGTCTGTCCCCTGTAGATCACCGGTTACACCAACAATTCCAAAACATAGGCTCCCCATACTTCTGCTTGCAAATTCCCGTGACATGTGGAAGTGCACTTGAGACAACATCAAAATCCGCCAAAAACGAAGCAAGTCTGCTGCACCTGCTAAATTGCCAAACTTTCTATGAGACCTCCTCAAAGTTTTAAGTTGACAACGTCAAAACGCAGCAATTCTACGAGACTTCCTCAAGGTTTGAACGTGGCAACGTCAAAAACAAAGCAACTCTGCGAGTTTTTGCACTTGACAACATCAAAAACGAAACAATTCTGCGAGACTTCCTCATTTTTCGAAGTTGACACCATCAAAAACGAAACAATTCTGCGAGACTTGCAGTACTTCAAAAATGGAAATTTGAGTGCAGAGCTGACGGCCTCGTACCAATGCATTCTCCGATTTGTCCAGCCTCCACCTGTCTAAAGTACTGCACCTGCCACGAAAAAGTGATGCCAGGTCATACGAAGTGTTGCACCTGTCACGCAAAATCATCTTGGCAAACCAAGGTAGAAAAACGCCTGCATGGCTTATTTTTTTTTGGATCTTGTGCGCTTTCATAAGACACAATGCAATACAATGCCTTGCAAGCAACGCAATGCTGGCACAGTCGGATGCAGTGCGACGCAGAGCACTGAAATGCTATGATACACAGTGGATACAGAGCATTGCCAGTGCAACACAATATAGAATGCAATGCAATGAAACGTCCTGCAATGCAATTCAATCCCCTGAGCATAGATAAACAATACTGACAAACAATGGACATCAATGCACCAGAAAAATAGCATGATACTAAATAATACTAGTAAACTGTCCTCTCGTGAGATGGCCTACCTGTCAAGGTACTTTTTGGGGACCGTCGACAAGAGCACTACCGGGCTCTGGCCCGAGCTTTGATAGAGCTGGTGGCGGCAAAAAGTTCAAAGCCGCTCTTACTCGGTTGCCTGGCAGAGGTGGGCTGGCGGTGTGCAATCCACTGTCTGATTCTTTGTCATGTTCTCCAGCCATTCCCAAAAACGGTGAAGGTGGCTGACTTCAGAATATGCGTACCGCCGTGTTGTGATTGTTTGCTGGAGAGACTCGTGGCTTTTCTTGCGCCAAGGCATCCACTTGAGAGAGAACAGTGCGGAGATGTTTAGGCCAGTGGGGTCATGTGGGGTCACTGGCCTGGAAACTGCATCAATCTGGTGGGTGGGTTCCTTGCCTGATGGTCTTCTCTCCAGTCAGAGGGAATCTTAAATGGTGGGGACATTGACGACAAGCGATTAAAATAGGATTTTCGAGCAGCGAATGCAGTGACTTGATTCAGGTATTCGCCAACTCATAGGTCACTCACGTCGAATCGAGTGACTAAGTCATTCACGCTCACTCACTGGCTCCTTAAAGTCTGTAATTCCAGCTTACGCGGATAAGTAAAGGAGTGTGCAGGACATTGTGCTCGGTCACGAGTCAAGGTGAGCCTCATGCAAGAGACACGGCTCCACAAAGTGCAGCTGATTGAATTGGGGTGAATTTTGTGTGTCTTGGGCTTGGTCCGGCCATGCTTTCATACGAAGTTTTGTGTTGCTTGCGTTTCCTGCGTGATGGGCAGGGGAATTCTGCAGCAATGGCGTGAGCAGCTTACAATTGCCACACCAGAGGACACCCAAGTCTGGAACATCTTGGAACTATCAGTCATGTTTCAGGCTTGTTTGTTTGCATTGATCGCGGAAGGTTTGAGCCTTTTAATCTACTTTGAGATCATCGCTTGGCCAGGAGGATGAATTTGCAGACTACGAGGGCCGCAAAGGATAATAGGGGTTGTGCAAGTGAGGAAAAAGGGAAGTGCCTGTTCGGCTGGAAGGCGTCAGGGTGCATCTCTTGAAAACCAGTTGTTGTCTCTGTTCGCCCGCTGTCTTGCTGCCACTATCATGCTATAATGATATACTGTATCTCATGATTCTCATGTTTCCCCTTGACGACTTTCAATGAATGCTCAGCTTAGGCCGAGAAGTCCACTTCGGAGAAGTCCTCGGTTTTTGTCGCCAACTCGACCTGTGTACATTTGACACAATTTGGCTTGATTGCCATCACACGCACGCACACACGCGCACACTTGATCAGAAGTGCCGTTGCGAATTTCAATTTTGCTGTGGAATGCATCAGACGCGCAAAAACACCAACACAACAACATAACACGATGAGATGAACCCATATATATATATATAAATATGTACGTACGTATGTATGTATGGATGGATGGATGTATGTAATGTAATGTAATGTAATGTATTGTAATGTAATGTAATGTAATGTGATGTGATGTGATGTAATGTAATGTAATGTAATGTAATGTATGTAATGTATGTAATGTATGTAATGTATGTAATGTAATGTAATGTAATGTAATGTAATGTATATAATGTAATGTAATGTAATGTAATGTAATGTACGTATGTATGTATGTATTAATGTAATGTAATGTAATGTACTGTAATGCAATGTAATGTAATGTATTGTATGTATGTGTGTGTGAGTATGTATGTATGTATGTATGTATGTAATGTATGTAATGTATGTAATGTATGTAATGTATGTAATGTATGTAATGTATGTAATGTATGTAATGAATGTAGTGTATGTCATGTATGTCATGTATGTCATGTATGTCATGTATGTCATGTATGTCATGTATGTCATGTATGTAATGTATGTAATGTATGTAGTGTATGTAATGTATGTAATGTATGTAATGTATGTATGTATGTATGCATGCATGCATGGATGCATGGATGGATGGATGGATGGATGCAATGTAATGTAATGTAATGCAATGTAATGTAATGTAATGTATTAATGTAATGTAATGTAATGTAATGTAATGTAATGTATGTATGTATGTATGTATGTATGTAATGTATGTAATGTATGTAATGTAATGCAATGTAATGTAATGCAATGTAATGTAATGTAATGTATTAATGTAATGTATGTATGTATGTATGTATGTAATGTATGTAATGTATGTAATGTATGTAATGTATGAATGAATGAATGAATGAATGAATGAATGTATGTATGTATGTATGTATGTATGTATGTATGTATGTATGTAATGTATGTGTGTATGTATGTATGTAATGTAATGTAATGTAATGTAATGTAATGTAATGTAATGTAATGTAATGTAATGTAATGTAATGTAATGTATGTAATGTAATGTATGTATGTATGTATGTATGTATGTATGTATGTATGTATGTATGTATGTATGTATGTATGTATGTATGTATTAATGTAATGTAATGTACTGTAATGCAATGTAATGTAATGTATTGTATGTATGTGTGTGTGTGAGTTTGTATGTATGTATGTATGTATGTAGGTAGGTAGGTAGGTAGGTAGGTAGGTAGGTAGGTATGTATGTATGTATGTATGTATATAATATATATATATATATATATATATATGATCCCCCACCCCTTAAAATGTATGGAGAGGGGGGAGGCAGGGAATTTTTCATACATTTCCACCCCCCTCCCTCTGAAACGGGCATTTTTGCATTAACTTTTTTCCCGACCTGCCAGGTGAGGGTTGTTAGATTTTATCAGAGCTGTTCTCCTCCTCCTCCGCCTCCTCCTCCATCTCCTCCTCGTCCTCCTCCTCGCAGTCCAGATCCCAGTGGGCACAGCTGGACCTTCACCGCGAGCTCCAGATCCCAGTGGGCACTGCCGGACCTCCACCGTGAGCTCCAGATCCCAGTGGGCACTGCCGGACCTCCACCGCGAGCTCCAGATCGCAGTGGGCACTGCCGGACCTCAACCGCGACTTCCAGGTTGCAGTGGGCACTGCCGGACCTCAACCGCGATTTCCAGATCGCAGTGGGCACTGCCGGACCTCAACCGCGACTTCCAGGTCGCAGTGGGCACTGCTGGACCTCAACGGCCAGATAGAATGCCAGAAGATATGCCAGATAGAATGCCAGAAGATATGTCAGATAGAATGCCAGAAGATAACCAGACAGAATGTCGAAGATATGGCCAGATAGAATGCCAGAAAGAATAGAAAAGAACAGAAAGAAGAATGTCAGAAAGAATGTCGAAGAAAGAAAGAAGAAAGAAAGAAAGGAAAGAGTCAGAAGATTTGCCAGATAGAATGCCAAAAGATATGCCAGAAGATATGCCAGATAGAATGCCAGATAGAATGCCAGAAGATATGTCAGATAGAATGCCAGAAGATTTGCCAGTAAGAAAATGTATAAATGCCATGGTGGGGATCATTCGAAGTGAAGTAATTTTTTTGGCTAAGATTAAGAGATTACCTAAAGAGGTGGGGGGTGCTCCTCATAGATTTTCAGCATTTTTCTTCGAAAGCTTGTTCAGAAAATGTGGGGAGGCGGTTTCAAACATTGATTTTGCAAAGCCGCGGATCTTTGATGCTCATAGAATTAACCTGGGAATCTTACGAAATAGCATGACGCTTTTGAGGCCCCCAAGTTTGCCAAATTATGGGAGGCCACCTACCCCCATGGGGTAATACATGAGGGGTGTGCGAAATTTGGAAGGGGGGGAAATTGAGATGGTGGGGGGTGAGGGCGCAGATGAAGTATCATGAATGTATGCACCTGGGGGGTCAGCAGCAGTTCCACGCCACACATTCGTTTTATATGAAGGTTGTTTTGAGAAGCCTAAATGTATTAAATGCAATAGTATGCAGTAGTTGTTGCTGATTCTTATCTATTGTTAGGGTGCCTTTTTCCAACATTTTTAAGGATTGTACGGTACCGAAAGGATGTTTTTTTAGGTTGAGCCTTGGGTTGAAGATGGTTGAAGTGTGTGGATCTAATCCAACCCTGCCCATTCCGCAATGCTCTTTCGGCTTTTTTTTTTAAAATCAAGCGTTGGGATCCAAAGTCTTATGGTGTCAGATGCTTTCAACAGTCTTACTCACAGGGTACTGACCTCGCCGAAAGGAACTGCAGAGATTCACTTTTCTTCACCAGCCCATAGGCCTCATTATCCTCCGACTTGTACTGTGGGCAGGGCACATCCAGGAGAATCCAGGACGGTTCTTATAGGGTCGTATAGGTTCCAGGTGGTTCCAATATGTTCCAATAGTAGCCAGTAGTAGTGAGAATGCCAACGCATGCCAACACACCCCAGAGGTCCCCAGAGCAGAGCATGTGAATGTATTGTATGCAAGGGGGGGGTAGCTGCACATCAGTGCAGCTATGCGTTTCAGGTATTGGGGGCAGGGCACTCTTATAGGGTCGTATACGTTCCAGGTGGTTCCAATAGTGTCCAGTAGTAGGGAGCATGCCAACGCATGCCAACACACCCCAGAGGTCCCCAGAGCCCCAGAGCATGTGAATAAATTGTATGAAAAGGGGGGGCTATGCATTTCAGGTACTGGGGGCAGGGCACATCCAGATCATCCAGGAGAATCCAGGACATGTATGAAGGTGGGGGGTAGATACATACGGAAGGCAGGGGAGTTATATATGTTTAGAATCACAGTTGACGTTGATGGTATAATACAGCGATATACTATACGTCCCCCCAGCTGCAACTTATATGCGCCCAGGGGCGGGACTATACATATGTAAATATGTCTGCAGGTACAGGAAACCGGCCACGTTTCCCTTCGCACTCATGCCCACAGCTTCATTGCGCGTGGTAGACATGAGTGCCACACGCCACCGCGATAAAAAAACATTACACCTATTCAGATGGTACACACACACCCTGCCGCAGCAGGGTGGATGAAGTGAAAATGAAAATGAAACGTAGATGACCATGAAATGACAAACTACCTGACTGGAACACGCGGCTGCAAACGCAAAAGAGGACGGGAAACAAGGAGAACAACAACACCAACACACCTAGCCCAGAACGGGCAAACCCTGAAAGGGCAAGGGAAAAGAAAAGCAGACGGAAGCGCCTGACACAACCTACAAGGCGAGAGCTTACCTTGGAACGCGAGGGACCCAAACCTGACCTAACACGGGAGCACGCATGAGATAGGGGACCAATGGGAACTAGTCAACAAAAAGATGCGTTCATCAACCAGTGCAAAATTTCATGATCAGGCTCAAAGGCCCTCCAAATTCGAGTCACAACCCTCTGGACGGCTTAAGCGGTCAACCCTCGAATTAGTGCACAATTGAACCTCACCAAAGACCATAAAAAGAAAGAAACAACCACACCTAAAAGCATGGCCTCTAACTTCATGCACAGTACCGGTGAAGCCAGTCACAGCGGCCAGCTGTTGCAACACTCACTCGACTGACGTGTGAAACTCGAAGAATGGCCAACTGTTTCACTTTATTTAAACGAATTACTGAGTTGAAAACTGTAAAAAGTAAAAGGTGAAGCCAGTCACAGCGGCTCGCAACACTCACTCGATGGACGTGTGAAACATGAAACAGTGGCACACTGTTTTACTTCACTTAAACGAATTACTATATAGGTTAAAAGTGTAAATTCAGAGTGGGTCGGAGGATCCAACATCCTTCCTAGACAGGTATCCCCCGAGGGGCTCATGTCACCTTGACAAACCGACATGAGTAACACACTTGATCAGAACTGTCGTTGCGAATTTTGCTGTGGAACGCATCAGAGGTGCAAAAAACACCAACACAACAACATAACACGATGGGATGAACCCATATATATATATATTTATCTATATACACATACATATATATATATATATATATACACATACATATATATATATAGTCACAGTAGACGTTGATGGTATAATACAGCGATATACTATACGTCCCCCCAGATGCGACTTAAATGTGCCCAGGGGCGGGATTATACATACATAAAAATATTTGCAGGTACAGGAAACCGGCCACGTTTCCCTTCGCACTCATGCCCACAGCTTCATTGCGTGTGGTAGGACATGAGTGCCACACGCCACCGCAATAAAAATAATTTTTACACCTATTCAGATGGTACACACCTACACGCACACGCACACGCACATACATGCACATCCACATTCACAGGCACATGCGCATGCACATCCCAC